CTGCAAATCTAGCAGATGTACCAGGAACGACCTAAGCTTTCTTATTATATAACAAACACTTCTGAGACAGAAAATGAGATCTGAAGGAGATTCAGCCATAAGTTGTTTACCCACCTGGACACCAGATTTGGTTTGTTTCATCCCTGTTTGAAGCTTGATTGTTTATATATTCTAACACTATGCAACTAATATTATTTTTTTATGAACTATTCTCATAAATCCTATAAAATGGTGATATGGATGCTTTTGTGGTGTCCTGATTGGATGCTGTATGTTGGTTTCTTGTTCATTATTACTGAACGGTTTTGTGCCCTGTAACCTGCATTGAATAGGTATTATTCTCTGCAATTAAGTGCCAACTATGTATGTGTAACTTTCATCTTTTCTCTATATGAAGTGCAAACATTCCTTGTGTACTATATCTCAAGGTAATTTATGGTTATGTAATAGTGGACATGGTTGGACATGTTGTTTTCCTATGGTACGAATTGCCATGTTTTGGTGGCCTTACTTGTTTACTGTGTTCTTAATGCTGGTTTTGAACTAAAACCCACCAAAGCATTTGTTTATTATGACCAAACCAAGTTGTTTTCATAAGACTAGTATTTAGACTTATCCCCATTACTTGTCCATATTGTACAGTATACTGTAAAAACATGCCTGGAGCTTTAATGACGTTTACTGTCCGTTCATGAAGCAATGAAATCATTGCTCATGACATTCCATTTAAAAGTACTGAATCAACTACAACTGCTACGGTTTAAATGAACTGTTCAGGATTTCCATGTCACTGTAAAGACTGCAGCATGTGTGTCCCGCATTCTGAATATCCAGCAAGTATCTTCTAACAGTTGTTAGCCAAGCACTCAAATGTCTGCACTGTTGACTGTGTATCTAAACTTTTACTTCAGAAACTAATTCCTGTTCTCTTTTTTTTTTTTCTTCTTTTCCTCATGTATTTTCCCCTTTTCCCCATTAATTGCATTTTTGCACAAAATATGTATTATCAAAAACACAAATGATCTGTGTTGGGATGTTTATGAAATATGTGAATTGATGTTATACAGATGATTAAACCATAATTTTCACACTATTGAGTCTGTCTGTAAGTCTGTCTGTCTATCTATCTATCTATCTATCATCAAAGTGTTGGAGTTTACTACACAAATGTTTGATTGGAACATCATGTCTGTTCTGCGGCTGTGTGTGTGTGTCTCTGGGGTGTCTGATAATGACTGAATGTGTGAACACTGTCTTACTGTCTCAGTGGTCTGTGTGGGGGTGTGTGGTGTGTACATGTGTTTCTCTGGGATATGTACAGCTGTCATGTTCCCTGCAGTCTGCGAGCTACAGCTGAGCAACAGTCCCTGATACAATCTCCTGACCTTTGACCTCTCACATAGTGCGCATATCACGTCATTGGGTGTTACAAGGTAGAAACTCACCAGTGCAATTATAAAGCTATAAAACCTGAGCGAGTTTGGAATCTTTAATAATCTCACATACAAATATTATATTTCACTGTCAAATTGATATTAAATTAGCTGCTGTTTCAGTGATTAAATGTTCTATTATTAGAATGATGGGTCTCATAACAGTTTGCTTTGAGCAGGTCTCTGTTATTGTAAAGAACAAGCCCATACACAAAGTGTCGTTTCTTTCTGACTGAAAAGAATTGAGAGAGAGATAAAGGCCAGGATTACTACAAAAGCATGTTGTCCTGTGCTCAAGCTCATGCATGTCTGAACATTGTTTCTAAAATCCTCAGATATGTGTACCCGTGAGCCTTTTTGTTACAATAAAAAAGCTAAATCTTTTTATCAGGTTTAAAATGTGACCAGGTGTTTGAATATATTTATTTGTGAACCCTAGGAAGAGGGTGTGGTACAATATTTTCCCACAAGGATGAGTCAAATCCTCACTGGGGTCATTTAGTTTCTACATTTTTTTTTTATTTTTATTTTTTTACAATTTTTAATTATTTTTTTAATTATTAATATCCTGACAACCAGTTACATAAAACATTAAAACTCAACTTCCTTTTCCTCAATATACTCTCCTATTTTTCTCTTTTTTTTTTTTTATTACATCCACAGGATGCTGTTTCAAGAACCTCACATTTATTATAATAGGCCTGATTAACCTACTTCATTCTTCACGGGAATCCACAGGGAAAAGTGTTGCATAACCACGGGTATCACTCCTAATAAATATCTCAGAACATACGCGTGTCAGACGGCAGCATCATTATAGCAAAGTCTTTAATTATATGTGTACAAGTGTGAAGGGTTTTGTTCTGCTAACACTATTAACTAATTCACTGTCCATTAGACGGGAAGAAAGATAATCACCCTTTTCCCATAGACTCCTCAAATCTTCAGAGAAAATCTAAACAACAGTGACGATGATGAATGGAAGCAAATCTGGTTTGAAGGCATGTAATGTGATCAGGCTAAGCCACACAAATACAAAGGATCTTATTATAAAGGCAGGCTATTGCACAAACCACTGCAATGTGACTGCATTGTCAGCACAAAGCATTTTCTCACAGGCAATGCTAATGCTAATGGTGCTGTTGCAACAGATAGAGCCCAATCAGGAACCCAATCAGGTTTTCAAGTACACAAAAACGGCCTGTTTTTACAGGCAAAAGTCACTGAGGAACAAAGCTGTCTTGTGGCAAAAAGCGGAGAGGAATGAGAAATGTAGCACACACATAGCAGAGTCTGTGCTGATAAGATGAAAGCTATTGCGCAATGGAGGCTTCACACTAGCTGAATGCTTGACAGGGATTCACTCTGGGGAAACATGGATTTTTACAAACAAGATGTTGTGAGAAAAACTTTAAAAAGGCACAGAGTATGATTTCAAGACTCCTGTATGGCACATTTGTGTGTATTTTTCATAATCTATAAGAAGACCTTCTGTTCTGGCAGAATCATTTGTTTTATACTCTGGGCTCCTCCATTCCAGCACAAAATTCCTTCAGAATAATGAATATCCCCCATTAAATTTCATATGTGGCCGAATGATTCCACACATCCACCACTAGATGGAGCACTATTCACTGAAGTACTGTGTCTAGACCTAGATGATAGTGAAGTGAAGTGACGTGACATGTGGCTAAGTATGGTGACCCATACTTGGAATTAGTGCTCTGCATTTAACCCATCCAAAGTGCACACACACACACAGCAGTGAACACACACACACACCGTGAACACACACCCGGAGCAGTGGGCAGCCATTTATGCTGCGGCGCCCGGGGAGCAGTGGGGGGTTCGGTGCCTTGCTCAAGGGCACCTCAGTCGTGGTATTGAAGGTGGGAGAGAGCGCTGTACATTCACTCCCCCCACCTACAATCCCTGCCGGTACGAGACTCGAACCCGCAACCTTTGGGGTTCCATCTATCTATCGTCCCTAGATAGATAGATAGATAGATAGATAGATAGACAAACAGATAGACAGTTATTGTAGATAGACAGACATATAGGTAGACAAATGGATAGACAGAAAAACAGACATGTACTGTAAATGGTTCATTGCCACAGTTTCAATCTAACCAAACCAATTGTGAAACGTAGCCGAGATCATGGCATTGAATGAGACTGCCGTTATGACAGACTGAGTGTGTCAGAAAGGATGTTTTCTGCCAAGGCGAATGAGAGAGGAAGGTGGTGTGGGGGGAGGAGGTGTTTATAAATCACACTGCTTACATAAACGGAAGGTGAAAGGAAGTGTGCTGTTTGTGGCTCAATGTCTCACTCACTGTCTAAAGTGCGGCTTCCTGTTTCTGACTGCTTTTACATATTATAATCTGCTCAATACATGTGCATAATCACTACGACAGCTATACATTTTCTGAAGCAAATATAAGTAGTGGCTTTCTGTTCACAACTCGCTGTCACAATTCAGGGGAGTTGCTGTGTGGTTTCTAAGGTGTTCTGAGAGGTTGTAACATTCTTATTTTGGTTGCTAGTCTGTCTTAACATGGTGACTATGTTTATGCAACTGCCCCCTGGGTTGGTGCTTAGCTAATTTGCCATATTCTGCTGAAAAAAAAAAATCTAAAAAGTCTAAAACAGGGGTGCCCAAACTCGGTCCTGGAGGGCCGGTGTCCTGCAGAATTTAGCTCCAACCCTAATCAAACCCACCTGAACCAGCTAATCAAGGGCTTACTAGGCATACTAGAAACTTCCCGGCAGGTGTGTTGAGGCAAGCTGGAGCTAAACTCTGCAGGACACTGGCCCTCCAGGACCGAGTTTGGGCAGCCCTGGTCTAAAAGTTTAAAGGTGTTTGGCAGGCAGGTCTTAGCTGGTCAGGTTTTAGGTTTTGTCCTACAGCAAAAATTACACACAGTCTGCTGGGGGAAAAAAACTGCTAAAACCAGCCTAAACTGGTTGGATAGTTTAAAATGGAAATAGCTGGTTTTAGCTGGTCTCCCAGCCTGACCAGCTAAAGATGGGGTCAAAACCACTCTAAAAACAGCCATAACCAGCACTGACAAGGCTGGAAGATCAGCTAAAACCAGACTAAATTAAATTTTTGAAGCTATGCTTTAAAAAAAAGTAGATTTAAAAGAACTACAAATGTTGTCCAGTTTGTTAAGCAAGTTAACTCATATCTCTGTGGTAGTTGTAGTCATTATTTATATAATAAAGTATTGTTATTATATTA